CTGCCGTGCCAGGCTAGGTACACCAGGAGGAGGTCACGTGACAGACCCAGGTGCTGTGGGTTGACTGCTGTGCCAGGCTAGGTGCAGGAGGTCACGGGACAGACACAGGTGCTGTGGGTTGACTGCCGTGTCAGGCTAGGTGCACCAGGAGGAGGTCACGGGACGGACCCAGGTGCTGTGGGTTGACTGCCGTGCCAGGCTAGGTGCAGGAGGAGGTCACGTGACAGACCCAGGTGCTATGGGTTGACTGCTGTGCCAGGCTAGGTGCAGGAGGAGGTCACGGGACGGACCCAGGTGCTCGGGGTTGACTGCCGTGCCAGGCTAGGTGCAGGAGGAGGTCACGTGACAGACCCAGGTGCTATGGGTTGACTGCTGTGCCAGGCTAGGTGCATGAGGAGGTCACGTGACAGACCCACGTGCTATGGGTTGACTGCTGTGCCAGGCTAGGTGCAGGAGGAGATCACGGGACAGACCCAGCAAGTGCTGTGGGTTGACTGCTCTATGGGTATCTATGAGTCTCTGTGTGTCTCGATGAGTCTGGATCTCTGTGGGTCTCTATTAGTCTGGATCTCTGTGGGTGTCTATGAGTCTGGATCTCTATGGGTGTCTATGAGTCTCTGTGAGTCTCTATGAGTCTGGATCTCTATGGGTGTCTATGAGTCTCTGTGTGTCTCTATTAGTCTGGATCTCTATGGGTGTCTATGAGTCTCTGTGTGTCTCTATGAGTCTGGATCTCTATGAGTGTCTATGAGTCTCTGTGTGTCTCTATGAGTCTGGATCTCTATGAGTGTCTATGAGTCTCTGTGTGTCTCTATTAGTCTGGATCTCTATGGGTGTCTATGAGTCTCTGTGAGTCTCTATTAGTCTGGATCTCTATGAGTGTCTATGAGTCTCTGTGTGTCTCTATTAGTCTGGATCTCTGTGGGTGTCTATGAGTCTCTGTGGGTCTATGAGTCTCTGTGTGTCTCTATTAGTCTGGATCTCTATGGGTGTCTATGAGTCTCTGTGTGTCTCTATGAGTCTGGATCTCTGTGGGTGTCTATGTGTCTCTGTGGGTCTCTATTAGTCTGGATCTCTATGGGTGTCTATGAGTCTGGATCTCTATGGGTGTCTATGAGTCTCTGTGTGTCTCTATGAGTCTGGATCTCTGTGGGTATCTGTGTGTCTCTGTGGGTCTCTATTAGTCTGGATCTATATGGGTGTCTATGAGTCTCTGTGTGTCTCTATGAGTCTGGATCTCTATGAGTGTCTATGAGTCTCTGTGTGTCTCTATGAGTCTGGATCTCTATGAGTGTCTATGAGTCTCTGTGAGTCTCTATGAGTCTGGATCTCTATGGGTATCTGTGTGTCTCTGTGGGTCTCTATTAGTCTGGATCTCTATGGGTGTCTATGAGTCTCTGTGTGTCTCTATGAGTCTGGATCTCTATGGGTCTATGAGTCTCTGTGGGTATCTGTGTGTCTCTGTGTGTCTCTATTAGTCTGGATCTCTGTGGGTCTATGAGTCTGGATCTCTGTGGGTATCTGTGTGTCTCTGTGGGTCTCTATGAGTCTGGATCTCTATGGGTGTCTATGAGTCTCTGTGAGTCTCTATGAGTCTGGATCTCTGTGGCTATCTGCGTGCCAATGTTGGTGGTTTGCCAACGCGGTTGGGACCCAACAACGTTAAACCTACTTTGGTATTTGGTGGCAACTTGTTCCACCAAAATTCGGCCCAACGTCGTTGAACCAACGTTGAGCCAACGTTGGCATGGCAACTTTTTGGACCCAACGTTGGGCCCAACTTTGAGCCAACGTTGAGCCAACGTTGAACCAACGTGTTATCAAGCAAGTATGCTGAACTTTTTTTCGCACAGTAAGTAAGTCGCCAACCCGTGCTAATCGGAGGTGCAGCATTTGGTTTGTCCAACGTTTGACGAACGTTGGCATGTGGTTGGAAAACCTGCTGGAATGAACGTTGTTGGCCCGAGCGTTTCATGTTACTAGGGGGAGGGGAGGGGCTTCCTTCCCCACCACCAGCACTACCACCACCACTACCACCACCACTACCACCACCAGCACCACCACTACTACCACCACCACCACTAGCACCACCACCACTACTACCACCACCACCACCAGCACCACCACCACCACCAGCACCATCAGCACCACCACCACCCCCACCACCAGCACTACCACCACCACCACTACCACCACCACCAGCACCACCACCACCAGCACTACCACCACCAGCACTACCACCACCACCAGCACCACCACCAGCACCACCACCAGCACCACCACCACCACCACCACAACCAGCACTACCACTACCAGCACTACCACCACCAGCACTACCACCACCACTACTACCACCACCACCACCAGCACCACCACCACTACTACCACCACCACCACCAGCACCACCACCGCCAGCACTACCACCACCACTACTACCACCACCACCACCAGCACCACTACCACCACTACCACCACCAGCACCACCACCACCACTACCACCACCAGCATCACCACCACCACCACTATCACCACCACTACCAGCACCACCACCAGCACCACCAATATCACCACCACTATCACCACCAGCACCACCACTATCACCACCACCACCAGCACCACCACTACCACCACCACTACCAGCACCACCACTACCACCACCACCACCACTACCACCACCAGCACCACCACCACCAGCACCACCACCAGCACCACCACTATCACCACCAGCACCACCACCACCAGCACCACCACCACCAGCACTACCACCACCACTACTACCACCACCACTACTACCACTACCACCACCAGCACCACCACCAGCACCACCACCACTACTACCACCACCACCACCAGCACCACCACCGCCAGCACTACCACCACCAGCACCACCACCAGCACCACCACCACTACTACCACCACCACCACCAGCACCACTACCACCACTACCACCACCAGCACCACCACCACCACTACCACCACCACCATCACCACCACCATCACCACCGCCACCACCACTACTACCACCACCAGCACCACCACCACCAGCACTACCACCACTACCAGCACCACCACCAGCACCACGTGTCCTGTCCGTGTGTCTCGCTCGGCTGTCGCAGCGTCCCGTGTCGTCTGGCAGCGCGGTGGCTTCCTGGCTAATCTGCCAAATGTAAACTTCGCCTCAATTAGTAGAGGGACCCTCTCAATTTAGCTGCCTTCCATAGTAAACACACACACAGAGACAGGATGATGATGATGGTGGCGGCGGTGATGCTGAAATGGGGAGTGGTGGGGCAGCGGTTAGCGCGCTACGCTACGAACCCGGCCGCACCGAGTTCCATTCCCACTCTCGGGCAGGGCTGGGTGACGATTTTATTTAAAACCGAGGTCCTGGGCCTCTCCTAGGTCGACTCGGCCTCAAATGAGTACCTGGTGCGGTGTGTGAACATCGCCACTGGGGAGACAAAGGCGGCCGGGCGTGGTGTTGGCCACCCACCCCCTCGTGTGCCGTGCCGGCCTTCATAGGTGCTACTCGCTAACAGCACTTGCCCCTACAGTCTGTTAAGGCTACACGGGGGATCTTTGTGTGTGTTAGTCTCTGTACGTGTGTGTACTGCTAACGGCACTATGCACCACGTGTATACGTGCACTACCGGTACTACTCAGAGCACAACACACCACGTGTACACGTGCACTACCGACACTTCTCACGGCACCACACACCACATGTACACGTGCACTACCGGTACTGCACCACGCACCACGTGTACACGTGCACTACCGGCACTACTCACGCACCACGTGTACACGTGCACTACCGGCACTACTCACGACACAACACACCACGTGTACACGTGCACTACCGGCACTACCGGAACTTCTCACACACCACGTGTACACGTGCACTACCGGCACTTCTCACACACCACGTGTACACGTGCACTACCGACACTGCTCAGAGCAATTCCTACTTCGACTGCGCTACGATTTTTCCGAAAACGGGACACGGCAGCGAGTGATATATGTGTGAGTGAGTGGGTCAGTGGGTGAGTGGGTGAGTGAGTGGGTGAGTGGGTCAGTGGGTGAGTGAGTCGGTGAGTGGTTAAACGAGTGAGTGAGTGAGTGAGCGGGTGAGTGCGTGGATGAGTGAGTGGGTGAGTGCGTGGGTGAGTGAGTGAGTGGGTGAGTGAGTGTGTGGTTAAACGAGTGGGTGAGTGAGTGAGTGAGTGGGTGAGTGAGTGGGTGAGTAAGTGGTTAAACGAGTGGGTGATTGAGTCGGTGAGTGGTTAAACGAGTGGGTGAGTGCGTGGGTGAGTGAGTGAGCGGGTGAGTGCGTGGGTGAGTGAGTGGTTAAACGAGTGAGTGAGTGAGTGGGTGCGTGGGTGAGTGAGTGGGTGATTGAGTGGGTGAGTGAGTGAGTGAGTGGTTAAACGAGTGGGTGAGTGATTGCGGGTGAGTGCGTGGGTGAGTGAGTGAGTGGGTGAGTGAGTGAGTGAGTGGGTGAGTGAGTGGGTCAGTAGGTGAGTGGGTGGGTCAGTGGGTGAGTGAGTCGGTGAGTGGTTAAACGAGTGGGTGAGTGCGTGGGTGAGTGAGTGAGTGAGCGAGCGGGTGAGTGCGTGGGTGAGTGAGTGGTTAAACGAGTGGGTGAGTGAGTGGGTGCGTGGGTGAGTGAGTGGGTGAGTGAGTGAGTGAGTGGTTAAACGAGTGGGTGAGTGAGTGAGTGCGGGTGAGTGCGTGGGTGAGTGAGTGAGTGAATGAGTGGATGAGTGGTTACACGAGTGAGTGGGTGAGTGAGTGGTTAAACGAGTGAGTGAGTGGATGAGTGAGTGGTTAAACGAGTGAGTGAGTGAGTGGGTGAGTGAGTGGGTGAATGAGTGAGCGGTTGGTGGTGGTGGCGGAATCAACCAACAGTCAACCACGGCATGAGTAGCACCAACAGCAGCGATAAAAGAGAGACACGGAGAACGCCCGTTGAAGACGATGAAAAAACGAATAGGCTTTACCCTCTCGGGCGAGAAGGCTACCTGGGCGCGTTGTGGTGTGTGCGGGGCACCTTTGTCTTTGGTGCCCGTGCGACCTCGCCCATCTCTCACCTGCACGGGAGCCGTGCCGCTGCCGTGTGCCGCTCCGCGTGCCGCGTGCCGCTTGTGTCGTGGGGGGAGAGAGGAGAGCGCCGCTTTCTATGGTAGCGGAAACACCCCCCACCCACTTCCACCCACTAGCTACTACTACTACCCCCACTCACTTCCACCCACTAGCTACTACTACCCCCACCCACTAGCTACTACTACTACTACCCCCACCCACTTCCACCCACTAGCTACTACTATTACCCCCACTCACTTCCACCCACTAGCTACCACCCCCTTCCACCCACTAGCTACCACCCCCTTCCACCCACTAGCTACTACTACTACCCCCACCCACTTCCACCCACTAGCTACTACTACCCCCACTTCCACCCACTAGCTACCACCCCCTTCCACCCACTAGCTACCACCCCCTTCCACCCACTAGCTACTACTACTACCCCCACTCACTTCCACCCACTAGCTACTACTACTACCACCCCCACCCACTAGCTACTACCACCCCCACCCACTTCCACCCACTAGCTACTACTATTACCCCCACCCACCTCCACTCACTACTACCACTACTACTACCCCCACTTCCACCCACTAGCTACTACTACCCCCACCCACTACTACCCCCACCCACTACCACTCCCACCACCCACTTCCACCCACTACTACCCCCACCCACTACCACCCACTACCACCCACTACTACTACCACCTACTACCACCCACTACCACCCACTACTACTACCACCACCCACTTCCACCCACTACCACTACCACCTACTACCACCCACTACCACCCACTACTACTACCACCCCCACCCACTTCCACCCACTACTACCCCCACCCACTTCCACCCACTACCTACCACCCCCACCCACTACTACCCCCACCCACTTCCACCCACTACTACCCACTACCACCCCCACCCACTACCACCCCCACCCACTACCACCCACTACCACCCCCACCCACTTCCACCCATTACTACTACCACCCACTACGACCCACTACCACCCACTACCACACATTACCAACCCCACCCACTACCACCCACTACCCACTACCAACCCCACCCACTACCACCCCACCCACTACCCACGACCACCCACCACCACCCCCCACCATACAGTCTTTAACAGACTGTAGGGGCAAGTGCTGTTAGCGAGTAGCAGCAGCACCCATGAAATCCGGCACGGTACACGGGGGCGGAGATGGGCAACCAGCACCACGCCCGGCCGCCTTTGTCTCCCCAGTGGCGATGTTTACCACGCACCGCACCGGGGACTCATTTGAGGCTGAGTCAACCTAGGGGAGGCCCAGGACCGGTTTAGATAATCGTCACTGGCGGTGTTGGCCGGGTTCGTAGCGCAGCGTAGCGCTAACCGCTGCACGCAATTTAGAGTTAGAAACTTTGTGTCTTTTTCGTGTCTAGTGACTTGCTTCCCATGCCTAACACCGTTGCACTCGTGTCGGTGTTTGCGTCCCTTGTTGTGACTCTTCTCGACTGGGGCGTGCGTGCAGCAAAGAGCTTCACAGCTCATCGGATTCCTGCGGTCCAAAATCAAGATTTGGATTCTCACACACGCACACGTGGACACACACACACGTGGACACACACATAAACACACACGTGGAGACACACACGTGGACACACACACATAAACACACACGTGGACACACACACATAAACACACACGTGGACACACACACACACGTGGACACACACGTGGACACACACGTGGACACACACACATGAACACACACACGTGGACACACACACACGTGGACACACACATAAACACACACGTGGACACACACACGTGGACACACACACGGACACACACACACCCCAGACACACACACGTGGGAACACACACGAGTGGATACACACACGTGTGAACACACACACACGTGGACACACACACACACGTGGGGACACACACGTGGCCACACACGTGGACACACACACACGTGGACACACACACACACCCCAGACACACACACACACATAAACACACACACGTGGCCACACACGTGGACACACACACACGTGGACACACACACACGTGGACACACACACACGTGGCCACACACACCCCAGACACACACCCCAGACACACACACACGTGGACACACACACATGTGGGGACACACACCCCACACACACACACGTGGACACACACACCCCAGACACACACACCCCAGACACACACACACGTGAACACACACACACGTGGACACACACACACCCCACACACACAGCCCCCCCTCCATCTCGTGGCACGCGCATCAGATGACGGCACGGGACCCCCCCCCCACCCCCCTCCACCCCCCCACCCCCCCGCGTGTTACCCGATCCTGGCTGCTACCACCATCGCCGCCGCCGCTACTGCTACTGACGATGACGCCTTGGGGTCAGGGTCTTGCAGGCAGCGGGGCCTCCAAAGCAGCGGGAGACGAAGCCGCGGCGACTCGCGGACCCACCACTCGGCGCCCGGCTGATGATGATCGCGAGCCGCCGACACAGACAAAAGATCCCCACTCCCGTGGTAGCCTCGGACAGGCTGTCGGGGCAAGTGCCGTTCGCGTGCAGGGGCAGTGCTTGTAGCAGGCCGCGGGGTGGGTGGTCAGCACCACGCCCGGCCGCCTTTGTCTCCCCAGGTGGCGATGTTTAACACACCGCGCCGGAGGCCCAAGACCCCTTCGGATTATCGTCACTGGCTGTGAACGGCAACTACACACTCCACAGCGCTTCACTCACCCACTCACTGATTCACTCACGAACTCACCCACGCACTGACTCACACATTCACTGATTCACTCACCAACTCACCCACTCACTGACTCGCCCACTCACTGATTCACTCACGAACTCACCCACTCAATGATTCACTCACGAACTCACCCACTCACTGACTCGCCCACTCACTGATTCACTCACGAACTCACCCACTCAATGATTCACTCACAAACTCACCCACTCACCGACTCGCCCACTAACTGATTCACTCACGAAATCACCCACTCACTGACTCGCCCACTCACTGATTCACTCACGAACTCACCCACTCACTGGCTCGCCCACTCACTGATTCACTCACGAACTCATCCACTCAATGATTCACTCACGAACTCACCCACTCACCGACTCGCCCACTAACTGATTCACTCACGAAATCACCCACTCACTGACTCGCCCACTCACTGATTCACTCACGAACTCGCCCACTCACTGACTCGCCCATTCACTGATTCACTCACGAACTCACCCACTCACTGACTCACCCACTCACTGATTCACTCACGAACTCACCCACTCACTGACTCACCCACTAACTGATTCACTCACGAACTCACCCACTCACTCACTCACCCACTCACTGACTCACCCACGAACTCACCCACTCACCGACTCGCCCACTCACTGATTCACTCACGAACTCACCCACTCACTGACTCGCCCACTCACTGATTCACTCACGAACTCACCCACTCAATGATTCACTCACAAACTCACCCACTCACCGACTCGCCCACTAACTGATTCACTCACGAAATCACCCACTCACTGACTCGCCCACTCACTGATTCACTTACGAACTCACATACTCACTAACTCACCCACTCACTGATTCACGAACTCACTCACTCGTGCATTCACTCACTTGCAAATGGGACTCTGCGCTGGTTTCTTGAGTTCTAACCGGGTCAAACAAATTCTCTTGAAAATTGGAAACGTGATCACAGTAACTCAGACACAAACACACACACATTGAATGAATAACCCAGACACACACTGAGTGAATAACCCAGACACACACACATTGGGTGAATAACTCACACACACACTGAGTGAGTGGAGTTTGTATGATCTCCCCCTGTTCTACAGAGTGAGTGAGTGGAGTTTGTTTGATCTCCCCCTGTTCTACAGAGTGAGTGAGTGGAGTTTGTTTGATCTCCCCCTGTTCTACAGAGTGAGTGAGTGGAGTTTGTATGATCTCCCCCTGTTCTACAGAGTGAGTGAGTGGAGTTTGTATGATCTCCCCCTGTTCTACAGAGTGAGTGAGTGGAGTTTGTTTGATCTCCCCCTGTTCTACAGAGTGAGTGAGTGGAGTTTGTATGATCTCCCCCTGTTCTACAGAGTGAGTGAGCGGATTTTGTATGATCTCCCCCTGTTCTACAGAGTGAGTGAGTGGAGTTTGTGTGATCTCCTCCTGTTCTACAGAGTGACTGAGTGGAGTTTGTGTGATCTCCCCCTGTTCTACAGAGTGAGTGTGTGAATGTGTGAGTGAGTTTATGTGTGAGTGAGTGTATGTGTGAGTGTGTGAGTGAGTTTATGTGTGAGTGAGTGTAGGTGTGAGTGAGTGAATGTGTGTGTGTGTGAGCTCCTCCGGCAGGCAAGGTTGCGTTGGCTGGGTCATGTAGCCCGCATGCCCAGCCACCGCATGCCTAAACAGCTTTTGTTCGGCCGGATCGAGGGGGTTAAACGTGCGCGGCACGGGCTAGAGAAGAGATGGAGTGATGTGGTACAGGAGGACGTGGAGCTGAGTGGACTTGCCGATGACTGGTACCAGCGGTGTCAAGATCGGCCTCAGTGGAGGAGGCTCGTGAAGGACGCTGCTACTGGGCAGTTGGAGGCAGTCGCCCTCCAACAACAACGGAGGGCGGAGGAGCGACGCTCACAACAACGAGCGGAGCGCCGGGTGGCTAAAGCATAGCAAGTTGGTACAGTAGGGGGCACAGGTGGTGCATCAGCCACTCATCTCGGTCATCTCAGTCAGTCGACCCGTGGCACCTGCTGGGTCTGCCCCGTGACCTCCTGCCAGCGGGCGTTCGACACTTCACGTGGTCTCAAGGTGCACATGGCCTGGCACAAGCGTCGTGGTGACGTCACCGCCACTTAGTGGCGAATAGCGGTTGTTGTTGGAGTGTGTGAATGTTTGTGTGAGTGCTGTTTGTACTCCCCATGTTCTGCAAGGGTCTCCTCCTGGTTTCTCCGCTTTTCTAAACCAACAGACGCCGTGGAAGTGATATCGGCCACAACTACAATGTGGAGGGGAAAAACGTAAGACCCGGAAGAGAAAATCCATGCGACCATGAGGAGAGACACGCAAACTTCACATAAACAGCAGCAGGCGTCAGGGTCTGGGATCAAACCCACGACCTCCTGTAGACCAGGCGAGGTAGTTAACATCTCCTAGCCACCGTGATGATGATGAGAGACACGCAGACTCCAAATATACAGCAGGCATCATCAGGGTCGGGATCGAACCCACGACCTGCTGTATACCAGGCAAGGGAGTTAACATCTCCGAGCCACCGTGATGATGATGAGAGAGAGACACGCAAACTCCAAATACATAGCAACAGGCGTCAGAGTCGGGATCGAACCCACGACCTCCTGTACACCAGGCGAGGGAGTTAACATCTCCTAGCCACCGTGATGATGATGAGAGAAAGAGAGAGACACGCAAACTCCAAGTATACAGCAGCAGGCGTCAGGGTCGGGATCGAATCCACGACCTCCTGTACACCAGGCGAGGCAGTTAACATCCCGCAGCAGCGAGCGCACAATAGACACCACGTGACACCAACACCACCACGTGCCCTCCTCGCACCAACTCGTCCCAGACAGCCGGAAGCCGCTCTGGGGATCTCCTATTGGACGACGCGAGTGCCTGGGGGTGGGGGTGGGGGAGGGGCAAACTGAAAGGAGAAGGGGGGAGGGGCAGAGAGGCTGCCACTCCTGTGTCGGGAGCTAGACGGGAACCCTGCCCGGAGCTCTGTGGATGGGTCTGGGGTCAGGCGCCTGTCACCGCGAGGGGAGCGGTGCGACCCTGACGCCTGCTGCTGTATATTTGGAGTTTGCGTGTCTCTCTCTCATTATCATCACGGTGGCTAGGAGATGTTGACTACCTCGCCTGGTGTACAGGAGGTCGTGGGTTCGATCCCAACCCTGACGCCTGCTGCTGTATATTTGGAGTTTGCGTGTCTCTCTCTCATCATCATCACGGTGGCTAGGAGATGTTAACTACCTCGCCTGGTGTACAGGAGGACGTGGGTTCGATCCCAACCCTGACGCCTGCTGCTGTATATTTGGAGTTTGCGTGTCTCTCTCTCATCATCATCACGGTGGCTAAGAGATGTTGACTACCTCGCCTGGTGTGCAGGAGGTCGTGGGTTCGATCCCAACCCTGACGCCTGCTGCTGTATATTTGGAGTTTGCGTGTCTCTCTCTCTCATCATCATCACGGTGGCTAGGAGATGTTGACTACCTCGCCTGGTGTGCAGGAGATCGTGGGTTCGATCCCGACCCTGATGATGCCTGTTGTATATGTGGAGTTTGCGTGTCTCTCTCATCATCATCATCACGGTGGCTAGGAGATGTTAACTACCTCGCCTGGTGTGCAGGAGGTCGTGGGTTCGATCCCAACCCTGACGCCTGCTGCTGTATATTTGGAGTTTGCGTGTCTCTCTCTCATCATCATCATCACGGTGGCTAGGATATGGTGACTACCTCGCCTGGTGTGCAGGAGGTCGTGGGTTCGATCCCGACCCTGATGATGCCTGTTGTATATTTGGAGTTTGCGTGTCTTTCTCTCTCATCATCATCATCATCACGGTGGTTAGGAGATGTTAACTACCTCGCCTGGTGTACAGGAGGACGTGGGTTCGATCCCGACATTAAAACCTCCACTTGGGGCAGAGGCGACGGGGGGGGTGGGGGGGGTAGCAGTGCCCTCTGAGTGCGCGTCGGAACGAAAGGGGTCGATTGGTGATCGGTGAGCGGAGCGGTTTACAAGATGCCTGCGTGTTGCTCTTCGTCCACCCGCTTACGTCAGTGAATGCCAGCACGTGGGGGGGGGGGGGGGGCTGGGGGGGGGGCTGGGGGTGGGCTGGAAACTGGGGGGGGGGGGGGGCTGAGGGGCTGTTGGTGGGGGGCTGATAAACGAATAAAGACGGCCAGCGAACACGACCCGTGGAGTTGGGTCGAGGTTCCTAATGAAAACCTCATTGAGTTGACATTCGCGTTGTTCACAGATACGAGCCGCCGCTGCTGCTGCTGTCGCTGCTGCTGCTGTGTGTGGTGCACGTGGCCCTGGAAGGAGAAGGTCGAGGGAGAGAGATCCAGACAGAGAGAGAGAGACAGTGAGACAGACAGAGAGAGAGAGACAGGGAGACAGTGAGACAGGGAGAGAGATAGACACAGAGAGAGAGAGACAGAGAGACGGAGAGTCAGTGGCGTGGGTGGTGACCTCCTCGTCTCGGACAAGCCGTGGGTCGGTCGCCAGCAAGCGGGGCCACGTGGATTGATCGTTCGCGTCCTGAGCGGGGCCGGGTTCGGTGGATAGTCGTAGAGAGGCAGAGAGAGACACACACAGACAGAGAGAGAGGCAGAGAGAGAGACACACACAGACAGAGAGAGAGGCAGAGAGAGACAGACAGAGAGAGAGAGAGGCAGATAGAGACACAGACAGAGAGAGAGGCAGAGAGAGACAGACAGAGAGAGAGAGAGGCAGATAGAGACACAGACAGAGAGAGAGGCAGAGAGAGACAGACAGAGAGAGAGAGGCAGAGAGAGACACAGACAGAGAGAGAGGCAGAGAGAGACACAGACAGAGAGAGAGAGGCAGAGAGAGACAGACAGAGAGAGAGGCAGAGAGAGACACAGACAGAGAGAGAGAGGCAGAGAGAGACAGACAGAGAGAGAGAGGCAGAGAGAGACACAGACAGAGAGAGAGAGGCAGAGAGAGACAGACAGAGAGAGAGAGGCAGAGAGAGACAGACAGAGAGAGAGGCAGAGAGAGACACAGACAGAGAGAGAGAGGCAGAGAGACACAGACAGAGAGAGAGAGGCAGAGAGAGACACAGACAGAGAGAGAGAGGCAGAGAGAGACACAGAGAGATAGCGAGGCAGATAGAGACACAGACAGAGAGAGAGGCAGAGAGAGACACACACAGACAGAGAGAGTGGCAGAGAGACACAGAGAGAGAGAGAGAGACACAGAGAGAGAGAGAGAGACACAGAGAGAGATAGACAGAGAGGCATATAGAGATAAAGAGACACAGAGATAGACAGAGAGGGAGACAGAGACACAGAGAGACAGAGAGACAGACACACACAGAGAGAAAGAGGCAGAGAGAGACAGAGATGGAAACACAGACACAGAGACACAGAGAGACAGAGAGACGGCGAGACAGACAGAGAGAGCGACAGAGAGCGACACACAGCGAGACGGAGAGAGAGACAGAGAGATAGACAGAGAGGGGGACAGAGAGAGACACACACCGAGAGAGAGACACACACATAGGGAGAGAGAGACAAAGAGAGCCCAGACAGACGCTTTGACTTTTAAACAACTTTTATTGCCGCCAGCAGCAACAGCACAGGAGGCGATTCCAATTGGTAACACACAAAGTCACCAGCAACACAAAAAACAACCGCTACAAATCCACGTGCTGTGGCGCTAAATGTGCCGCGCACAACACGAAATAAAAGCCACGTGGTGGTGGTGGTGGTGGTTGTCGTAGTGGCTGTGGTGGTGGTTGTGGTTGTGGTGGTGGTGATTGTGGTGGTGGTGGTTGTGGTGCTGCTTGTGGTGGTGGTGGTGGTTGTGGTGGTGGTGATTGTGGTGGTTGTGGTGGTGGTGGTTGTGGTGGTGGTTGTGGTGGTGGTGGTGGTTGTGGTGGTGGTGGTTGTGGTGGTGGTGGTGATTGTGGTGGTGGTTGTGGTGGTGGTGGTGGTTGTGGTGGTGGTTGTGGTGGTGATTGTTGTGGTGGTGGTGGTGGTGGTGGTCATCGCGCACGCCACGGTGACGAGCGAGCGCTTCAGAAGGTGAACACCACGAGGGTGCCGTCCACGCTGGTGCAGAGAGGGGCTTGTCCGGCCCCACCAGCGTTCGAAGAAGACGTGCACATCACCGGCACGTGTGTGGTACATGGCGTGCTCCAGCCGGAGCCGCGCCTTGAGCAGAGAGAGACAGAGACACAGAGAGAGACAGAGACACAGAGAGAGACAGAGACACAGAGAGAGACAGAGACACAGAGAGACAGAGACACATCACCGACACGTGTGTGGTACATGGCGTGCTCCAGCCGGAGCCGCGCCTTGAGCAGAGAGAGACAGAGACACAGAGAGAGAGAGAGAGAAACGGAGAGAGACACAGAGAGAGACACAGAGAGAGACAGTGACACAGAGAGAGAGACAGAGACACAGAGAGAGACAGAGACACAGAGAGAGACAGAGACACAGAGAGAGACAGAGACACATCACCGACACGTGTGTGGTACATGGCGTGCTCCAGCCGGAGCCGCGCCTTGAGCAGAGAGAGACAGAGACACAGAGAGAGACAGAGACACAGAGAGAGACAGAGACACAGAGAGAGACAGAGACACAGAGAGACAGAGACACATCACCGACACGTGTGTGGTACATGGCGTGCTCCAGCCGGAGCCGCGCCTTGAGCAGAGAGAGACAGAGACACAGAGAGAGAGAGAGAGAAACGGAGAGAGACACAGAGAGAGACACAGAGAGAGACAGTGACACAGAGAGAGAGACAGAGACACAGAGAGAGACAGAGACACAGAGAGAGACAGAGACACAGAGAGAGACAGAGACACATCACCGACACGTGTGTGGTACATGGCGTGCTCCAGCCGGAGCCGCGCCTTGAACAGAGAGAGACAGAGACACAGAGAGAGACAGAGACACAGAGAGAGACAGAGACACAGAGAGAGACAGAGACACAGAGAGAGAGAGAGACGGAGAGAGACAGAGACACACAGAGAGAGACAGATACACACAGAGAGAGACAGAGACACAGAGAGAGACAGAGACACAGAGAGAGACAGAGACACAGAGAGAGACAGAGACACAGAGAGAGACAGAGACACATCACCGGCACGTGTGTGGCACATGGCGTGCTCCAGCCGGAGCCGCGCCTTGAGCAGAGAGACACAGAGACACAGAGAGAGAGAGAAACGGAGAGAGACACAGAGAGAGACACAGAGAGAGACAGATACACACAGAGAGAGAAACAGAGACACAGAGAGAGAGACACGGAGAGAGACAGAGAGAGAGACACGGAGA